CCAATGTCTCCAATGTCTCCAATGTCTCCAATGTCTCCAAAAGCTGTGTCTCCAATGTCTCCAATGTCTCCAGGACATGTCTCTGCACCCTATCTTTTCAAAAAAGACAAAAGACATTGGAGACATTGGAGACATTGGAGACATTGGAGACATGTCACCCCCCCCCCCCCCATCAAATGACAGGTGATCAGTGTTAGAGACGTGTGTAGTACCTCAGAACTAGAAGTTAAGTTGAACCCCAGTATGCTGCGTTAGTAGTAATTAGATTTGTAAATATACCTTATCGGACCTTATTTGGACGGACATTACATGAACGGACACAATTATGAACGGACATTAATATGAACGCTCGAAGGCATTCAAAACCATCAAAAACCGAATTTTGTTCAATATTTTTTTCAACGTTTTTTAAATTTCAGCAAATGATTTTTAAATCCATTTTTTATACAGTAAGTAAGAAAAGCAGTCATTAAGCAGTAAAAATGTTAAAATATTTGTACATGATCAGTGTCTAATATCACATATCATCTTCATCAAATGGGTTTCGTGCTTGAAATAGTCCATGCTTAAAACATCAGTGATTTTTAGCTTTATGGAAACCTTTTTTAAAAATCAAACTACCCCGGTCCTGCATTTCAGTGTTACTGTTAACTTTTACAAGCCATTCGGCGTGAAGTGATTTTATCTTAGACAACTTAAGGTTAACCTTAACATCACGTGGAGCTTTCCTAGCATTGTTTCATTACCGCCCCCGAGTAATATGAACTATAACAACGTCGGACAATGTCCTTGGCATCACGATTTACCGTGATATCTAGAGGCTGGAGCAAGTTTGTCATGTTGGCGGGGACTAGTTCATGAACTTTGTTGTTGAGTGCCATAATTTCGTTGACTTTTTTCCGCCAAGTGACCCTTGAAAACATCATATACTAGTAGTTTTCTGTGCCTTCGGCAGACCAAGGAGAACCTTTCCGTCGTTAACTTACGGCACAATAAAGTTCTCAAAGTTGTCATATTTTGGACAAAAAGTTCGAAATGGAAAAATTTTTGAAAAAATTTCAACGGACTTTAACTTGGACGGACATTAATTGAACGGACTTTATTTGAACGGACATTAAGATGAACGCTAGGGCCTCCAGCGTTCAAGTAATGTCCGTCCAAATAAGGTCCGATAAGGTATGTGGATTAAAATGGTAAATAAACCATGTAAATTTGCAAATATTCACCGTAACATAAAGTGTCATAAAGATGAATTAGGTGAGAACTTATATGATTAAGATGAATTAAGTGATCATTTATATGATTAAGATCTGATTGGAGAGATTTGCAGAGCACTGCAGCCATTGGCCAGAAAGGACATCTAGTTTTATTAGAATTATTTATAACGAAATTATTGGATTAACAGAGTTATTGAATTCATCAATTAGTGGAACGGTATTTTAACCAGTTTTAAAAACCGGGATTTGTATTAATAATCTGTTTGTTTGCAATAACCTGTTCGTAATAACCTGTTTGTTGCTACCTGGATAACGCGCTATACCGCCTCATCCACTGGAACTCCCCTTCCACGGAACACTCTAGGATTACAAAAGGATGGAAGACAAGTTTATCACTGCCTTTTTCTTCTGCCATCGCTCTTTCTTCGGCAAACCCGGCCCGGGGTGATTTAGTGTGCTGCCTCTCTCTCCCATGTCACTAGTCCATTAGGAAGAAGTCGCCAGAACATTGCAATTGGTTCCCGTCACTTCCGTAAATTCCCGCTAAGCTAGGAAGTTTGTTGCTCGAGGTATTGTTCTATTATTATGTAACCCATTCCTTAGATGTTGTTCATTGCAATGTTATTCCCAAATTATTGTTTCACATTGTTCGTAATACTAAGGTCATTCCCGATTGGTTATTATTTAGTTCCTAATAGTTTATCATTTCCTAGGTAATATTGTGGGTGAGCCCTATCCTAACCTGCCTGCTTGTCCCAAACCTTAGCAGCACCTACCTTATTATCTCGTAAGTCATTGAGCATTAATTGATACGTTCTATATATTTCGTATTCTACCGTTTACTCTATTTAACTTTATCTTGTTTAATTTTATCCTAGTTAGTATATTATTGTCATTAATTAATCCGTCACTTGCTTATAATTTGTCCGTTTTCAGGACAAACCCCTCCCGCAGATTGTGCCTCGTTCCCAGCCGTTAGAAAGAATGTAGTAGAGAACGAGGGCAAATCACGGTTAGTCACTAGACTTATTTACATTGTGTAATTAATTATTATTTGTCATTATATTACGTATCACTTTATTATATGTTGATTTATCCGACCTAACGTGTCATTAGATTCTTAATTAATTATATGTCCACTTTACGTTCTCTTACCAATTCCATTTCGCAGTGATCCTAGAAGCTACCTGTCCATCGTCCAGAGAGAGAGTCAGCCAGCGGCCAGCCCCGTTATAATACACACCAGTTCCCATTGATCACCCAGCTACCCAACTGATTTAGGGTAACGGACTTTACCATGAGATTGAACACTTATTTTATGTACTATTGGATTGGTCTTGCATTATTTTACAATTCTTATTAACTTCTTTTTATTGGTTATCTTCCAGATATAAATTCATCTAAAAAGTTCGAAGTTAAGACTCTAGACATAAATTAACCTAAAAGTTCGAAGTCCATAATTATAACATAAATTCCTGTCACAAATCTACCATTGTACACTGAGAGTTTGGGTTTGAACTATGCCCTGAGTGAGTCTCAAGCCGGGAGGTATTCCATAATATCGGAACCTGAATATCCATACTCTAGTTAAAAGGAGCCCATTATACGTAGTTAAATTAATACCATCACAATTTAATGAAATATAATAAATAAATAATCTCTAGAAGTCATGGAAAATTGGAGCATTAAATAGGCCGTTAAGTAAGTTGCCGTGCTGAAATCCGAGTACGCCTCTTAACAATCAGCAATTAGCACTGACCTGTTTTCCCACACCGAATAAATTTAACTCTTTGAACAATTGGAGTTCTTTTGGACACCAGACTATTCGGAAATCGGACCTGAAAGAGTTTTAACCTTACAAATTGAACAAAAAAATTAACAAAGGATTGAAAGCTTAACTCAACCTTTCGGGAACAGCTAAGCAACAGTCATAGATGTTCGTGGAGTATCAGAAAATCACTAGTTAAAATTTGTAATTGTATCGAATAAGAGAAGATATCGATTTGACAAGAAAAGATTTATCGCAGACACGCGCCACGCGGTTTACTTAGACGCTTATCCAATGCGAAATTCAAATATGGCTCTTTTTGTGAAATTGATGGCGAGTGAATTAGTAGCGCCGAACCAAGAGAACGTGTTTAAAAAGTCACGTGACAGTCGAGTGTAGAGTGATTAATCATCATCCACCGGCTAGGCATAGTGCATAGGGTCTATTTGATTCACAATGTCAATCCTTTGCAGCTCGGCGAGGCCCAGTGGTGCATTTCGCCGATCTACCGAGAAGAATTATTTGATGCGCGGCGCGGCCCAGTAGTGCATCGCGCTACAAAGGGTACAAAGGGTCTAACTCCGTAAATAAACTAAAATTAAATATCGACCTCCGGTTTTCACCAAAATCTTCGTCTCGTGAAACTTAAGTTTGGGACAACGTAGGTTTTGAGTTATCCCAAAAAGTCTTATTTTGGGCCGATCAAAAGTTTATAACTTTAACTTTGCGGATTCCTGACGACCTGACCTCTGATTTGTGATTATTGACTGAATTGTGTCATACCAGTACCACATACGTCAGGGGCGTGCATTGTGCAACCAGTGTACTTACTGGGCGGCGCTCAGCCTGTCCATGTCATATATTCCGCCTAATATCTATAAATATAATGTTTATGAACATTATAGCCTGGGGTCCCCAGGTGAGCAGTGTACTTATATTTATAATGTTGCGCGCAAGCTCAAACCGGCTGTTTAAAAAAGAGCACCCCTAGCGAGCCCGCAAGCCGGTAATAAGGTTTTCTGGGTATTTGTGCTCTTCTTAAAGCAACCAGAGTTTGGACTATGACTATATCTTGATTGACGATGCCAACCCTTCCAGATCGTTGCTCTGCGAAGCAGAGCAACGATGCTCTGCGATTGCTCTGCAAAGCAAGAATACTAGTTTGCGCGGCGAAGTCCTCCAAGACTATATCATTAATTTGCAATATATAACATTTATTTGCAGAATAATCAAAATGGGCCTTTGCGATATTTTGTTATTTTATTCCCTCTGATCAGATCAAGAAGGTGGATGGATCTCGAAAACTGGATGTATAAAAGAGGAGATTAAAGATAAGAATTTGAGCTTGGAGGACTTCGCCGCTTCGACGCGCTGCGCAAACTAGCATTCTTGCTTCGCATCGTCGATCGTTGCTCTGCTTCGCAGAGCAACGATCTCGATGGGTTGACACCGTCAATCAAAATTTGAGCGAGATTGTTATACCTGGGAGCCATGACTCTGGGAATTACTGTATCAACCGCAAGTCAAAGTATAAGTTATTTTACTGTTGATTTTACCAATTCCTATCAAGTCTCTGCCACTCTTCTGGGCTCATTTTAAAAACTGACGTAATTATTGTTGGACACCTGACCCAAATTAATTTTATCCACAGGAGAACATACCTCTTACCGAACTTGTTTTGCCTGAACCCTGTTGTTGACAGAGTCGGATCAGTTTGGTCCAGATCCCAATAATATTCCATTGCTAACAGTGCTATTCCATTGCTAACAGTGCTATTTTTCCATTGCTAACAGTGCTATTTTTCCATTGCTAACAGTGCTGCAGCGATGGAATTATTTTATTCACATTTTTAGACAACGTTTGGTACAAAATTTATCAACATCGGGAAAAAAACATTCTGTGCCAACTCATGGCGCTTATAGTTATAGTTATAAATATAATACATCTGACTAAATGGCCAAATCAAAATGCAACGTGTGTCAATGATTGACAGAACTGAGAACGAAAACATTGGCTTCAACAATTCGAACAAATGTAATCAGAAGTCAATAACAGTAACACGCATATAAAAACTAAAATGAAACATTTACAAATAACGTTAGCTCGACGTTTGTATATGCTGATTAGTAAAATTCTGGAATTAACGGCACAGTCAACTTCAAGCACATGCGCAAGACATATATCCAATATCGTATTATCAATTATGCAATATGACATGTTATAATAACCAATTTTAATAACATCACTTAAACTATGTATATCATTTTTCAGTCCATCTCTTTTAAATGCGTCACAGATACTTTGAGTGGATAAACTCAGGGAAGATTATAATTTTAACTTGATTTTATTCCTAATATTTATCTAAACTCCTGGTCAACGTTGAGACTAAAGTAGAGATAAAATGGTAGCGTAGGAATATTACATTTTCTTATCTATGATTTCACCTCAGCATAATTAAAAATAAACATTGAAATGCGAAAATCCTATCAAGCTAAAATTCAAAAATTCAAAAAGTAAACTGAATCTTATTTCAAGGCTACTGTTCCTGAAAATACTCGCTAATCAGATCTATTTCTAAACGGCACAAATTAGCAACGAAAATGTAATTCAATAAACTTTCTCTCCGAACAATAACAAGCAGCAGGAAAAAAAAGCTAATCCCTAAATATGAAGGTTATAGATGCTGGTTTACTATCAAAAACATAACCAATATCATGATAATTTACCTCTCCATTAAATTTAAAGACCATGTCATTCAAAAAAATAGTACAGTATTAGTAACAAGTTGACTGTAACAGTGTAAATTATAAACTAGCTCTAACTAGCCCTCTTCTCACTCCGCAACTCATTCTTAAACTGAAACCCGTACCTCTTAAATACCAACTAACAGATATCTCGACGTCAAGAACAACAATTTGTCGTTTTTAGGAACAACTAATCGTCATCGCCAAGAGAAATAAGTTGTCCGACGTTAACCTCATTTTGGGAATTGTTAGTGTTCTGATGAGGAGGAGGAGGCTTGGAAGGGAGGTTTCGAGGGATGGAAAGTGAGCCGTGGTGGGAGAGTGGTCGAGGTGGCACTGCTCTGGACTGAACAGGAACCTGGCGACTTATTGTGGCAGAGCGTCTCATTTCAACCTGATCCAATGAGCAGTGATCACATTGGGTGTTTTTCCAGAAAATCAATTAAATCGCTTCCACTAAATCGCTCACCCAAATTAAAAAAATTCTTGTGAAAAGGCCCTGAGGGTGTGAAAGTAGTTTGATTTTGTGTATTTTATTTTTGGAAACTGATTCCGAATCACCCCTCGTGATGTAAGGTAAAAATGCTTCCCTGGAGAGTTATGGGCAAAAAACTATTTTGGTCACGTGACACGCTTGTAAAACACGAATTCGATTATTTAGGGCTCATGTTAGGGTTATGGTTAGGGTTATGGATAGCTCCGGGGTTATGGTTATGCCTATGGTTAGGATTGGGATTACATGTAAAACCGTTTTTTCGGCTGCAAAACCGTTAAAAAAAAGTCACGTGATAATGTTTGGGCGAGCGAATTAGTAAGAGCCCAATAAAATAGATCCGTTAGAACGAAAAGTAAACATTGCCTATTCCTCTATAAAAAAATGCGAATCAGATATTTTCTTATTGATAATATCCCAGTATAATCGGCCCACATACCTGTCCAGTTTGTTTGTTGGAATTAATGGAAGGGTTGGAATTAATATGATCCAGGTTTCCTATCATCAAGTTAAACAACTTCTCATCAATGGTCGGAGGTGGAAGTGTGTTGTCCCTAAGAAAGGCAGGAAGGTTCAGTAACGTATTCTTGTATAAATGCCACGGCATTGGTTTGGTGGGAGCAGTTCTGGTCACGGGCATTTCCTTTCCGGTGTTCATTTTTGGACTGGAAACTCTAGTTCCACTGTTCATATCGGACATGAAACCTTGGATGGCAAAGGCCCCGTTGTTTATCCTTGCTATCTGAGGGTTCCACTCTTTCTGAAGCGGAAATTGTTTAGACAACTGAAATCGGGCAAAAACTTTAGCTCAAGACGAAGAAAAATACGATCTCTACACGGCTACACCACATAAGTTACAATAAATGCGTTTTCTATGATTGCCAGGAAGCTTCCGGGATTCATTACGGTCCCAATCTTTAAATAGAAAAACGTCATACGTAGTGAGATGCTTTGCTGAGCATTTCCGCAAACTGGTCATAATAACCCCAGTAAATTATATTGGATCAAGATTCGATAAAGAAACTTAAAACTTACAGCGATCTCGTCATTTATCCACGATTTGAGGTAGTTTTTATGAGATCCGGTCTGATAGTAGTCAACTGAGAGTTCCTCGTACGCGTCACGTGGTTTCACCCCCTGGATTATTTGCAGCCTCTCCTAAAAGTAGGAATATTATTAAGAATAATTCAAAACATAATAATTATGAATTTAATATGTATTAAACACAATTTCCGGAGCCTATAGAATTTTGGATATACAAACTGTAACTTACAATCTTTGAATGATAAAATAATAAATACTAATAACATCCGCAAGTCTCAACTTTTGAAGGCTAACTTCAAAATCAAACCTGAATGAACTCATCAAAGTGCTGGCATTGCAGAAGTTTGGTTACAATTTCTTGTAAATTGGCTGGTCTGGAGTGAAGGAAATTATCATGGTCGAAGGAGAAAGTTTTACTCTTTGTATTGTCAAATCTGCACGAGCCTCTGTAGTTTCCTACAATTGCTACCAGCGTGACGCAGAACTGAAATAGAAAGAGTGACCAATAGTCATATGTGATCCACTGAGTCAATCATAGGAATAAATAGTTAATATATATTTTGAGGACCTTGGGTATCAAAGTTTCGCCGGCCATAACGAAATGCAAGAAAAGGAGAGGAAATGGTAACCATGGTAAACCATTTTAGATAGCTTATCTCCTATCTTTTTCCTCGTTTCATCATTCTCGTACATTTTCTTGATTCCCTTGATCCCCTCCATGACACTTTCCTCAATGCTGTGAGGTATTTTCAGCATGTCTTCGTTCAGCAATGAAGGAGGCACCTGAAATATGTGGAGAATAAAAATGTATTAGTTATAGTATCACATAAATAAAATCAAGAAAGATAAATTTGAGCGGCCGTCATTCAGTTCAAATGCTAGAGAAGGTATATTCTGTACCCATTACATAATATTCAGTATTCACTAGATGGAAGCTTTCTGCTGAAGTAAAATAATATTTGGATAATTATTCAATCCCTTAATAAATTAATATCCGTGAAATAAAATATTAGTTAAAGCTCTTTCTCCGTCCTTTTCAACCACTTAATTGTGCACAACCACACATCTTCTAAGCACAACCACACATCTTCTGGGCTGGCTCTCGCAAGCAACATCTTCTGGAGAACTACAGATATTTTCCAACTTTGGTCTTTTGCGTCACCAAAATGCTTTTAGTAACATACTAAAAGCAATTTGACCCATTTTAAACATATTTTATATAATTACCGCTGGCTTTTAAATTTATCCGAGACAAGTTTCAAAGGTGTGGTGAACAAGGCGTTCAAGACAGGACTTTATTAAAAATTCCGGTGCTTGTAAAATGCTGGCTAATTGCAGCCATACCGAACAACTTCACCAAATCATGGTCTAGTAACAAAGCCGGGAATAACGCTTTAAGTACCCAATTCTCCAGAAGGAAGATTAAACCGTTCTGTTTGCTACTGACACCTGGTTGACCAGCTACCTCGGCGCTCAGTTTCAGCAGTTCATCACCCTAGTAGGCTGGCAGGCGTCAGCTTCTCTGACCATCTCATCCACTGACTTGCCTTCCCAAGGCCTTCTCCATACAATATGGGCAACTGTTTGGGTGGTACCACTGCCACTGCGGGTGGCTGCAGAATTCTGCGTGGATGTCCTGGCGTTGCCATAGATGACTGTCAGAATCCAGCTTCACGTGGCGCCGTAACGTACCATGGCTGTGAGCTTTAACCAAGGGTTCACTTCACAAGCCGAAGCCTCTGTTTTGAGCAGGAGTACTATTACTAATCACGCTAGCGTGCGATACAGTGCAGCTTGGTGAATGGCTAACACATGGATCCAACCCTTAAAACCAACGAAAATAATGCTTTAAGTTCCAAACTATCGAAAAGATCTTTTATTTTGCCAATTGCCAGTGTTCGGTACGGAGATGTGAAGCAAACACTTGACAGTGATTTTAGGTTTTGATTGCACAATCACTTTTTTGTGTCAAAACAAATGTTTCACCTCCACACCAGAATACACATCTGGATTCTTCCTTCCGTCGATTCTTCAGATTTTGTTACTTCCAAAAACTGGGATTTGAATATTTTTAACATTTTAAAATCTCAGCTTCTGTGTTTGTTAAAAAATCAGTCTGAGATTCTACCAAATTATTCTCTAAAAATAACCCAATAAATTTCAATACAGCCCAGATTTTTCACTACAGATAACTCTTTTCATTCAGGAATTCATGTTGAGAACTATCTGCATTTTCCTGCTTTTTATTCACTATGCTAGTTGTACCTCGGTCAAAAGGGATGTAGAGTCAAAGAAAGAGAAAAGGAAATCGAAGCGAAAAAAAGATAAATCTGTAAAGAAGAAGAAATCTGTAAAAAGAGGAGAAAGCTGCAGAAATAGAACAAGCGAAAACTATCGCAAAATGCTATGAGTACGAAAGCAAATTGGACGTCTGTTTATCATCGGGTACGTAGTGAATTAAAAAATAATTTGCTCAAAATTAATCATTATTGATCGCAAGAAAAAGTAGCAAACTTGATCTTCTTGAAAGCGTCCAACAAGATTATACTATTTTCTAAGTAAAATATAGCTCCATTCGATCTCCACAAGTTGAATTTCAACTTATAATTCCTCAAACTCACAGATTACAAGCCCAAGTGGATCAAGTGTGCTGAAAAGTTTCACAAGATAGCAAACGAAGGCTTATCATTAGAAATAGAGAAGGAAAAAACCCGCAGAAAGCCAGTAAAAGCCAGACAGGTTGGTGACAACACTCGTGTTGGGGTAATGAGTAAGAAGAAACGGCAAAAGAGACAAGTTCGTGGGAGTACACTGTCAAAGAAGGAGGAAAAAGGGTGCCGACAGAGCGAAAGGAAGATACACAAAACTTGTGTAAAGTCGAAGTACGATTGTGCAGCAATAAATGAGGCAGTTTTGGAAAGGCGAGAGAATGTAGCATGGCTAACTGGCAATATACCAGGTATTCGGAGAGTCACACATTTAATTTTATATTAGTTTAATGCAATAAGGTAATAGTATTATTATTATATCGGGTCTCTATAAGAGGTCTCGACTACCTAGGCATCAAACGTTGGCAGTCGGTAATTTCCTCCGCCCGGAGTCAGCTAACCATAAGGATCAGAGGATGATTATTATTATTGTTTACTTCTGTTTCTTTATTCGGAGAATTGTTACCTAAATTCGAAATTAGACCTCATAAACATGTTATGTAATTTGACAACAGATAAACATTTCATTTTAATGATTTCAGGAGGAATAACCCCAGCCGACATGTCTGACGAATTGACTATTGAAGCGTTGGAGCAAATCCTGATGGAGTTTAAGCGGAGGGCATACACTCTAGGAAACATGAAACCTCGGGATACCATATTGGTCGGAGACGTTCTTAACATAGACGAACAGGTGAGCATCACTTAAAAAGACCAAATTTATTCACACTACTATGTTTTTGTGTAGTTGGGAGGGGGAGGGAGGGGGTGTCGTATTTTACATAATATGATACCCAAGATACTGTGGCAGTGTGGCTCTTTACAAAGTACACCATTACAGGCCGTAAGTGGACACAAATTCGAGGTTACGCTAGAGCTGGGGATCACAAACAATCCTAGGTGCAAAAGACTATCTCGGAATGGCATTGTGGGCACCAAAGTCTGCGATGATCGTGAAAATGTGAGTTTATTTACAAAAATCGGTGATTTAGATAAATAAATGTAGATTGTGGTGGGGAGGTGAAGCATATTTTTTCCACGTGACAGTAAGCTTTCACTATTTCCCAATCAAAACCAGGAATCACTGTAGGGACTACCGGTGGAAGATGAATAATTAAAATTCCAACAACATCTTGTTCTCTTCATTGTGCTGATTCCGGGAAGCATTCTCTTTACGCTCTCATCATACTGTAGAATGAGATATCGTTCATTTAAAATAGGGTAATATAGGTCTGCCAAGGATTGCAGCCCGATTAAGAGCTGATAAATTGCAGCTACTCGTGCCATATAAAAAATATTCTCCAAATCCCCACCACAATCCAAATATATTAGTTTTTATATTATTTGGAGGGGGCGCGGGGGCGGGGAGGGGGGGGGGGGGGCTGACTATATTAAAGTATATTAAAATGGAGGTTTTCCCGATTTAGGGGCGGGATATACTTTAATATATCCCTATCTTTTTGGAGGCCTAAATCAAAAATTCGCTGCACAAAATAAGCTTGAAATGCAATTCTTAATCGATTCCGAAAATTTCATGCAAAAATATTGAAAACTGATGAAGTTATTTCAATTTTAATGAAGTCATTTTGGCTAGTATCCCGAACCGAGATATTATGTGCAATTTTGTTTATGGAGGTATTTTTACTTAGTATCCAGTATTCAACAGATATTGAGCTATATCTTTCACATAAAGTTAGTCTCATTCAAAAATATTGAAATTTGATCGAATTTTGGGCGAAAGCTTTCAAATTTGGTGCTTATGCCCAAATATGGGCATATGGTTAAATTCATGTACTAGTCCAAAAACAGGCTTATCTTGCAAATCTAAACGAAGAATATAGCTCGACTAATTTTGGGTATTAGGGTTACTGAAAAGGAGATAAGCACCTCAGGCCATCCCAACGTTCAGGAGAGACCTGCCCTTGTGTCTTGTTTGTTGTAATTTTGGGTATATTAAAGTACATTGAAAGTATATTAAAATTTCGGCTTTTTTAGGTGCGGGGATATACTTTAATATGGTCAGCCCCTCCCCCCCCCCATTATTGTTAACGCCTGCGGTTTTCTTGTTTGAAAACGTGCAAAATCCTCATGTAGTGACTTTTATTAACTCCCTATATCATATTTTATGGTAGAAAAGCACACATGATCAATTATGATAACTTACGGCCACGGAACTATACATCAAAATAGGGTTTTTAGCGTCCAGCCAAAATGATTTCAAGGGAAGAATCTCACCATTTCCACCAAAAATCCTTTTGAGAACACGCATTTCTGTAATCGAGCATTTCCTGATTTAAATCATGTCTCGAAACAAGCTATTTCTTTGATATTTCTTGTGATACTGATAGTTGGATAATATCCGGTTGGAAGAGACAAGGACAAATAAAACAGGAAGTTAGGAATGTAAATTTCTAACTAAGTATTAAAACTTTCAACACTGTACTATATATCAAATAATTTGAGCCTGAAGATGGCGTTGACGCCGAAAATTTGCCTACATTCCTAACTTCCTGTTTCATTTGTCCTTGTCTCTTCCAACCGGATATTATCCAATTGTCAGTATTTCAATCATGAAACTAATAAACAGCTAACTACTCCATCATTTGATATTTCTTGTGATATCGAACTAAAACTGCGCACGAAGATTTTCAACGTGTTGTTCTACATGTGTAAAGAAATTCTATATCAAGAGAAATAGCTGAGTTACTGCCTCTCAATCAAGCAAATAGCTTGCTTCGAGAAATGATTTAAATCAGGAAATGCTCGATTACAGAAATGCGTGTTCTAAAAAGATTTTTGTTGTGGAAGTGGTGCGCAAATGAAGTTCCTGCGAAGTCATTTCAGCTGTTAATATTTGGTGTATCGACCCTAATAGGGCGGAAAATTTAGCTTCCACCCACATTAAATTCTGAAAATGGTCAATGGTGTGATCGAAAATTTTCATCCAATCTCAAATTTAAAGGAAGTAGTGCCGTAGTAAGTGCCGTCCGCCACTTTCCATTTCCTGTTTTGGATTATTCAGATTCGTGACGAAACTTGTTTCGTCATTATCACTTTTTTGTTCCGGCGAAAAAAAGGAAATGGCGAACGGTGGTGACACCCCTGAAGACTGCTTATAAACTGTTTTCTCGGCAGATCGGCATAGGAATCCTATCGGCAGTCCACTCACCTTGGAAGCAACCACCATGGCTCTACTTCGAATACCAAGATACTGTAGGTACAAGCCCCTCGAAAGAACTCTACTGGGGTGAAGACCAAGACATATCCGTGAATGACGAATATACCGAAGAGAGTAACTTTTACGTGGGGCCAACAAGTGAACTCGATGATGAATGGATATTATTTTTGGACGAATATAGTACTGCCGACGATTATGCTTTTAATATTGATGAATTCGATGATGAATGGATATTTTTTTTACAAGAATATGGTGATGAATATGGGTTTGGTGATTTATTTGGAACTTCGAATTATGATAATTTTGATACAAACGATGATGAATACCATTTTGATAATAATTCTGAATGGGGTGATTTTATGCTTGGAGTTTCCCCTAGTGATAATTTTGATACAAATGATGATAAATACAATATCGATAATAATTCTGAATGGGGTGATTTTATGCTTGGAGCTTCCCCTAGTGATAATGTTGATATAAAAGATGATGAATACAATATTGATAATGATTCTGAATGGGATGATTTTATGCTTGGAGCTTCGCCATTTCGCAATTTTGGATGAATACATTAAATACTGGTGCACAATGCGTTTACGTTCATTTTATCTATTCATGTACCGTGTAGTATTTATTAGTCTTGTATCTAGAAATGTAAGTCGTCGCATTTTATTTTGTTTAATAATCAGGCTGAGATTCCACCCAATTATCCACTTAAAATAACCCAATACATTCTAATATACAGCCCATATATTTCACTACAGATAACTCTTTCCATTCAGGAATTCATGTTGAGAACTATCTGCATTTTCCTACTTTTAATTCACTATGCTAGTTGTACCTCGGTCAAAAGGGATGCAGAGTCAAAGAAAGAGAAAAAGAAATCGAAGCGAAAAAAGGAGAAATCTGTAAAAAAGGAGAATTCTGTAAAAGATTATTTGGGAAATAGCATGGAATGCTATAAGTACGAAAGCAAATTGGACGTCTGTTTATCATCGGGTACATATTGAATTAAGAAATAGTTTTAGATTATCGGGGACGAAATGAGTCTCCACTCAGTGTAAAACAAAATATTTGATGTATTGTCGACTTTTCGGCTATATTTTTGATATATACATAGCTGCAACACACAATTGGTACAAAAATCTATATACTATTAAATAATGTCAACCGATAAAATTTGGAGATATTTCACGTTATTGTTTTTCATTTCATGTAAAATAAAGCTCCATTCAATCTCCACAAGTTGAATTTTCAACTTATAATTCCTCAAACTCACAGATTACAAGCCCAAGTGGATCAAGTGTGCTGAAAAGTTTTACAAGATAGCAAACGAAGGCTTATCATTAGAAATAGAGAAGGAAAAAAACCGCAGAAAGCCGGTAAAAGCCAGCCAGGTTGGTGACAACACTCGTGTCGGGTTCAACAGCAGGAAGGAACGGCAAAAGAGACAAGTTCAAGGGAGCACAAGTAAACTAACAAAAAAGGAGGAAAAAGGGTGCCGGCAGAGCGAAAGAAAGATACAGAAAAATTGCATAAAGTCGAAGTACGATTGTGCAAAAATAAGTGAGGCAGTTTTGGAAAGGCGATTAAATAAAGCAATGCTTTCTGGCAAGATACCAGGTACTCCAGAGATTCGCACATTTAATTGTATATTAGCATTATTATTATTATCAATTACTTCTGTTACTTAACTTCTGTTTCTTTATTCGGAGGTTTGTTACCTAAATTTCAAATTGGATCTCATAAACCTGGCGTGTAATAATGTAATTAGACAGCATAATTACGGCTTTCAAACTAAATACAATAACTGTTATATTAAGTAATAACGCCACAAAGTAGAAGATCGAATTAACAACAGATAAACATTTCATTTCAATGATATCAGGAGGGATAACCCCAGCCGACATGGCTGACAAATGGACTATTGAAGCGTTGAAGACACTCCTGATGGAGTTTAAGCGGAGGGCATACACTCTAGGAAACATGAAACCTCGGGATACCATATTGGTCGGGGACGTTCTAAACATAGACGAACAAGTGAGCATCACTTAAAAAGACCAAATTGATTCACACTACTATTTCTTTGTGTAGTTGGGAAGGGGGAGGGAGGGGGTGTCGTATTTTACATAATATGATACCCAAGATACTGTGGCAGTGTGGTTCGTTACAAACTACAACATTACAGACCGTAGCTGGAATAAGGTACGAGGTTACGCTAGAGCTCGGCATCTCAAACAGTCCCATGTGCAAAAGACTATCTCGGAATGGCGTTGTGAGCACCAAAGCCTGCGATGATCGTGAAAATGTGAGTTGATTTTAAAACATCAGGGGTTTAAATAAATACACGATACCTGGGCATATTAAAGTATATTAAAATGTAGGTTTTTTTTCCAATTTTGACCCGGAGATATACTTTAATATACAACAATTCTCACCAAGTTCCTGTGAAGTCATTTCGGCTGGATATATTTGGTTTATGGGCCCTTATGTGGCGGGAAATTTAACTTTCGCCCACATTTTGAAGATAGTATGATTTAAAATGTTCACTCAATCTCAGATTAAAAGGCAGTAGTGCCATCGCCATTTTCTGTTTTGGATTAATCAGGAATCCCGGATAATTTGCGAAACATGATTCGTCATTCTCGCTTATTTTTGTTCCGGCGAAAAAAAGGAAATTGCGAACGGTGAAGACTGCTTATAAACTGTTTTCCCGGCAGATCGGCATAGCAATCCTATCCGCAGTCAACACAGCTTGGATGGACCCACCATGGCACTACTTCCGTTACACAGATACTGGAGGTAGCCCCTCGAAAGAACTCTTCTGGGGAGAAGATGATCCCATTTTCGTGAATGACGACGAATATACCGAAGAGTCTCTATTCTACGTGGACAATGAGGACAATGAGTATAATGGCAACAAAACAACAACACCTAATAATAATGATGGATATGAATATGGTGGTGGTTTGCTTGGATCTTCGCCTTATGCTATTGGTAATGAGAACGATGATGATAATAATGATGGTTATGAATATGGTGTTGGTTTGCTTGGATCTTCGCCTTATGGTATTGGTAATGAGAACGATGATGATTATAATGATGGTTATGAATATGGCGGTGGTTTGCTTGGATCTTCGCCTTATGGTATTGGTAATGAGAACGATGATGATTATAATGATGGTTATGAATATGGTGGTGGTTTGCTTGGATCTTCGCCTTATGGCGGTGGTTTGCTTGGATCTTCGCCTTATGGTATTGGTAATGAAAACGATGATGATAATAGTGATGGATATGAATATGGCGGTGGTTTGCTTGGATCTTCGCCTTATGCTATTGGTAATGAGAACGATAATGATTATAATGATGGTTATGAATATGGTGGTGGTTTGCTTGGATCTTCGCCTTATGGCGGTGGTTTGCTTGTATCTCCGCCTTATGCTATTGGTAATGAGAACGATGATGATTATAATGATGGATATGAATATGGCGGTGGTTTGCTTGGATCTTCGCCTTATGCTATTGGTAATGAGAACGATGATGATTATAATGATGGTTATGAATATGGTGGTGGTTTGCTTGGATCTTCGCCTTATGGCGGTGGTTTGCTTGTATCTCCGCCTTATGGTATTGTTAATGAGAACGATGATGATTATAATGATGGATATGAATATGGCGGTGGTTTGTTTGGATCTTCGCCTTATGGTATTGTATGAATACATTAAAAACTGCTAGACAATCACAATGCATGTCATGTTCATTTTTTGTATTAATTTACCGTACAGTATTTATTAGTCTTGTATTTACTTAGCGTTGTATGTTCATTGGAGAACGGACTGATTTTGGTATGATTTTTGTGTCAAGACTGCAAGGATTTAGTTATTTGAATTGAAAGTTTATAATTTATACACTATTTTTGCGTTGAACAATTTCCTTTACCTAAAAAAAGCAGTTTCCCTTGGTCGCATATACGGAATTATCAGAAATTTTGAAACATTAAAGACTCTCACTTGTGCAGTGGCGTAACGTATGTACCACCTTATCGGACCTTATTTGGACGGACATTAATTGAACGCTGGAGGCCTTAACGTTCATTTTAATGTCCGTTCAAATAAAGTCCGTTCATTTAAGGTCCGTCCAAGTTAAAGTCCGTTGAATTTTTTTCAAAAATTCGAACTTTTTGTCCAGAATATGACAACTATATACTATGAGAACTTTATTGTGCCGTAAGTTAACGACGGAAAGGTTCTCCTTGGTATGCCGGAGGCACAGAAAACTCTACTAGTATATGATGTTTTCAAGGGGCACTTTGCGGAAAAAGTCAACTAAATTATGGCACTCAACAACATAGTTCATGAGCTAGTCCCCGCCAACATTACAAACTTGTTCCAGCCTCTACATATATTACGGTAAATCGTGTTGCCAAGGATATTGTCTATTAGACGAGACTAAAGAGTTTCTCCAATATAAAATTGAAGCGCTTGGTACATCGACTTTAATTCTATTTTAAGTCTATATAATTATCTGCACCCGGGAATTAAAAACTGCAAAATCTTGCAGCTTCGGGAAATTATATTACCACATTCCACAATGATATCAGAGTTCAGACTATGTAATTCAACGAAAATAAATCCCATGGAAAAAGCGCTCTTGATGAATCGCTAATGAGAGCAGGAACTGGAAAAAGGACGGTCAAGCAAAACCCTTGCAAATCTGATCGAAGATATTCCCTCTAAGAGTTACTCCCAAGCTCCCACACTGTGAAACACTAAATCATGTCGAGTCCTAAATAATGGTGATCAGCGCAGACCAAACAGCAAAGCCAAAAAAAAGAAAAGGGGGGACCGGGGAACCCCCAACCCATATGTAGGCGTAGCTGAGACACCTCACAGCAATTAGACCAAAGTGGCTCTTGCTTGTGAAAGGTGTATCAACTCCCCGCTTGGTTCAGCTAGGGCCTAGGCCTGATGGAGTTCTTTTCCAATTATTCAATTAGACAGTTATATATAGTATAGCCTTCTGAAGCAGTCCAAAGGTGAGCCAGAAAGGAGGTTAACTTATTTTGCCAGCTGTTGTGAGCCTAATGATCATTATGAAAGTCTAGAAATAGAGATCAAGTTTCTAGCTGACTCATTGAAACTGAAAAGACGTTGAAACTGGGATAAAAAACATTACACGAACGCCCAAAAAGATGAACCAATTGATATGAGCAACGTTTAAAATTGAACAGCGTTTTAACGTTGTATTCAAATTTAGATTGTGAATGAAAAGTTCTTAAACGTTTTATAGGCCATCGTTGGTTAATTTTAAAGGTTAATTTTTTAACGTTGAACTATTTCATGCACGAAAACCCATTTGATGAAGATGATATGCGATATTAAACATTGATCATGTACACTTCTTTTACTGCTAAAAATCATTTTCTGAAATAAAAAAAAGTTTTAAAAAATGAAAAAAATTCGGATTTTTAATGGTTTTGAGTGCCTTCTAGCGTTCATATTAATGTCCGTTCATAATTATGTCCGTTCATATAATGTCCGTCCAAATAACTATAAGGTCTGATAAGGTATGTATGGGTATATTCAAATCATTAACTAAAACGTGCAGCTTAGGTAGTCGTGCAGTAAATATTGCAAAATTGTCAACACTCATTATTTGATTTTGAACAAACCTGCATTTCATCGTTATCAAGATCCACTAGAACTAGCTCTTCACCCCATATTCTTCTAGCTCGTTCTTCAAGTGACTTGTGGAGACCTATCAACAGAGGCATTGGAGCCGCAACGTAGTCTATCAGAGCTGAAATTGGGTTCAAACTTCAAATCTTCCCAAGACTCCGGAGTTTGATAATTAACATTTTCGAATCATGTACTATACGTCGTCCTCAATAGTAAATATAGTACACAAAGCACATACCACTGTGTATTTAAACACATTAGTGCTGTGGAGTGTGGAGCGCTTCTCTAAGAAATAATGTACTAAAAGCTCATCACTTGTATTATAAGAATTCCTACATATTACTTAACCGTACTACTAAAGAAGTGGATTCCATTGTGCCACATTGTACAAGTGTTACTAATACTGGTAACCCGACACACATAGGTCCAAGTCGTTATTAACACGCGGATTTTTATTTTTACTATATATGGTTACAGTGTGAGTTTTGAAGCGTAAGTAATTCGGTTACAGTTCAGCCGTTCTTCTGTGAAACAGATAACGACAAGTAGTATTCTGGGAGTATAAATACGCCCATATTTTGACGGTGTGAATTTTATTAAATTTGTGAGAGGACAGCAATTTGTTACACACTAAGAAACGCCATATTCAGGGTTTCGAGTAATAAGGGATCAGACATGGGGTCAAGGAGCACTTGATGTAATCAAATAAATATTCTCAAGAAATTCTACTCCTTACAGTAAATTTGATTAATTGGGTTTGCTCATCATGAACCTTCAATTTCAGGTTATAATTATGTTAACGAAACTTTATTATAATATGTAAAACATGGCATCATGCGGTCACAGAATAGGTATGATTAGAAAGCCATTGCACAATGACGTATCGATGTGATATGAGTTCCTACAAAATCGGTATTAATGAATCCAGAATCGCATATTTTATAAATTTTTGAATAACAAGTGGGTTTTTGTGGTATAAAAAAGAGGGGTACTGACTGACTGACTGACTGACTGACTGACTGACTGACTGACTGACTGACTGACTGACTGACTGACTGACTGATTGACTGACTTGACTGACTGACTGACTGACTGACCTTCAGGGAGAACAGGTATGAAGACATGTTGCCAGTACATGGGAAATAACAAATCCCGGGCAGCGTATACCTGAAAATGAGTAATTAAAACACTTCCCTCGCAGAAATTTTGTCGGATTTTCAATGACTATCTTTGAATATGAAAAAATACTGAACCAGTACCTGTTTCCAAAGCTAGGGACATGAGGAATTTCCAATCACGGAGTATCCCGCCCATAATTTGCTATTTACATAGTTAACATTCCAGATAAAAGTACGTGAAATCTTCAGGAAAGTCTATCAAACTATTAAGAGATTTAATCTAATTTGAGCACCAGATAGATTAATATATACGTTCCCCATCATACATTTGTCATGAAATATGGGGACAAGATATTACACTGTCATCGGGGATCAAGTTGGTATTTGCGCATCATTCATCACACCAAGGTATAACTATCACAATAATACGTCATGTTCTTTGATATCTTATCAAGTATGGACTATAATTAACATGGAATTTATGTTAGTTACTAGTTATATATAGTAATAACTAATCAGTAATACACTTGAACGCTGTCAAACGTAATGACCGAAAGCAAAGTGCGTTATAAATTATGTAAGAGACATAAATAACACTTTGCTACATTTCTCACAGATATCATTTGTTATTCTACGTCATCATCTATCACATAGAGAGAAGCCGTTATCTATTGTCATTACCTGTGCTTTACTAAATCGTCATTAACAACACCCCGCCCCGCCCCGCCCCGCCCCGACACTTCACACTTTCTTCATCCAAAACAATGTGCATATCCCATCACTTCACCAGTCATCCGTGACACGTCGGTTTAAAAAAGCTTGCACTTTCGTCAGCATATCTTGGCTATTTGCAAGTCAAGCGCCGCAAGCTAGAGTTGCATAGCTGGGGCATGACTCACTGCATGCCACCGCTGGTTCGTCAAGCAGGTGGCAGGACGCATGTGTCAGCTGATACGAATTAGTAAAAATGCTCTACCATACTTTTAGGTTGATAACGGTTAAACCACAACTCAACGAATCAACAACTTACTGGGGAGTGAGAGCCAAATCTAGTGCAAATCGATCAACAAAAGCCCATACTTTGGCTATATTTAGAAAGTTACATCACCCACTCCGCACAGCTCTACAGCTATAATATGATACTTTGCAATTTGATTACGCGCTGCGCACGTGAGACCACGAGGGCGTCACGTGATAGACTAAGTGAGATGTCGTGAGAGCACGTGCGTACTGCGTATTACAGCACGCTGAGCCGCAGCTCGGTCACGTGGGCAGCCCAGCGTTTTCATTGGTGCGACGCGCGTCACGAGGGGGCCTCGTGACAGCACGGCCCACTTCCAAATAAGGCGTATTTGGGAGTAACTAGGAGGCGGAGTGCTGACGTATGTTAGTGCGTAATGCCAAGGCAAGGCATGTGGGCCTATATTAGGAAGCCTGCACATCAGCACAGATTATTTAAAGAGCTTGCAAAGACTTTGCAGTCATTCGTAATCTTGTCGTTTGTGTTTCGTGTAACTTGTGCAGTGTAGACAGTTTTTTTTATCATTCGACCTAGAAGTCTACCCCTGGAAAAGCCTAATCAACCCGAAAAACAGTCAGAACAGCTGAAAAAGACCTCAGAAGAATCAGAAAAAGTCAGTACTAAATCAAGTAAGCAGAAAATGGCACTAGCAATGGTCAGTACACCAGACGCCGCAAAGGAATTGTTCGGTGGATTATGGGACCAAAACACAGACCTTTATCAGGCTTATCAGAATTTGACCACAACCAAACCAGAAAAAACTTCCAGTTTCTCCTACCATGACTCTCGACCCTCATCCAGCTGTGGGATCCGGGGGACTCAAATGCCATACATTCCAGTCACAACATCCTACATACCAGTAACCTGTGCTCCGTCTACATCCTACATTCCCATCGCTAGCAGCACCCCGTCCTACGTTCCCGCCGCGTGTCCTACCCCTCCTACCTACATACCCCCTACCAGCGTCTCTCACGCTAGCCCCATCTCATGTGGAAGCAGCACCTGCAGCGACACCAGTAAAACTGAAAGCATGGACAGTTCCAGCAGTTTTAGCGGGGCACCCGGACCTATTACTGGCGCTTCTGTTAACGACTCTATCAACATGGCCCTCCTACTTCTTCATCACTCTCAAAAGAAAGTGAGTACAGTTTCATATCATGTTCTAGACTTTACACTGTCTTATCAAGCCAGTTTCTTTAATAATTTAACATGCTAGAACTCTCATTGTCCTGGTGAGAGGGGTCTAAACAAATAACTAAAAGTAGCTCCTCCGTGTGTAACAAGGAGTATTGACATTTTGGTCACGAATATATGCGAATAGCATATTACATAATTATGAGTGTACACATATTTTATATTTTCTGAGTCACTTGTCCATTGCCGTATGGCACTGGCATGTTATAATACCAAAGTTTTTAGAATCCGTTTAAACCATGTTTATTCACTTATCAAATATCTCGAGCCATTCTAACCGACCTGATTTTTTCAGATTCTATCGAAAGATGAAGAAGAGAAGCGTAGGATAAGGAGAGAAAGGAATAAGATCGCAGCGACTAAGTGTCGGCAGAAAAGACGAGCACATAGCACCAATGTGGACAGCGAATATAACCAGGTATGTTTAGTACTTAATTCTAATTAATTCCTATTGTAATCATGCAGATAGGATTTCTTTTATATATCCGTGCGATTTCTCTAGATATTTGATCCTTCGTTCAGTTTTTACTTTCGAAACTCCTGCCTGCTCATAACAAAATGTGGTTTTGACTTTTGACCACTGCACCACGTTTCCTAAATTGAATTTCCTGTTTATTTCTTAATCTGACTTGTAAACTCACCAAACTTTCTACCCCAGGTTATCGCTAAAACGAAGCACCTGGAAGAGCAAATCGGGGCTTTACAGAGAGAAAAAGAAGAGCTGAAACAGCTGCTGGAGACCCACTACTGCCACAAACCCACCACCCCGGGCTTCTCACAAGATCTCCCTCCCTCCACCTTCGCTGAACTATTCGTCAAAAGAGAGCCTGAGACGCCCAGTATGAAGCAAGAGCTGGATCCTTTCAACTGACGGACTATTATTTGAGCTGTTTTTAATAGCTGTTTTCGGGTTGGAAATAGGCTTTTTCTTCAGATTACTTCAAGTCGAGTGTTTTTATGATATCAGTGTTAATACTTAAGAACGCTGGTTTTGTACTCAGAATCTGTACCCTTTATTGGTGTTGGGACAGAGATTTTTATGGAACACGAGGGAGTTTAACTGAAATGGAGGTTGTATGCTACTAAAAATAATACTTGGATTCTTGGACACTTATAAACTGACTATGTCGAACAATTGTTAGCGTACTCTAGTGGTTACCATGGTAACGTGGCTCTAGTCCTCCTCATCTTAGTAGGGTATATTTTTGGGGTTTTTAATCTAAAAAAGGAATAATTACGATGTGTTACTTGTTAGTTATTTAGATTTAACTGAGTGTTTTATGACTGTTTGACCAATGATTTGTTAAGTTTCCTACTTATTTTTACGGTTAAATTCACTTCAAATTTTAAACTTCCGGATGGGTGACATAGGTTAAAGTTTTGTAAAATTTTTACATGTTTTTCAGCATTTATATGGTCCGCATGTAGGATGCGGATTCACCCTGTGTTTTTTTTTCTAATCTGCTTATTTAAGATTATCAAGTAATTTATTTTTGTTTTGAAATACCCTGTATTATTTGTGCTCTCTTCTGTTACATCTACCAAACCGTAGCTGGACTATAGTAGCTAGTAGCTACCATATCCAAGTAAACACAGAAACCAACAAAATATTACACATAGATAGTGTCATATTACCCCACACACGCACACACACACAACTAACTACGAGACTTACACAAAGTATGTGAGTTGAGCCGCGCGTGAAAAACAGAATGCTGAAATTTCTCACGCTACTCTCTAACCTGACACCCGACAACTTACGGCTGCTGAGCACCTATCCAGCGAATCAGACACCAGAATAATTCTCCTCTCCATGATGAGGGCCATGTAGAGTGTGTAGAGGCACCGTGTGTTGAGCAGAGGAAGGAGGGTAGACTGGTTCCTGTTTTCTGAGAGGGACACCAGCCCTTGGTGATCTGGTACAGACAGCTTGCAGAGCTGGGGAGTGAGGATATTAGTTGTTAGGAGTGGGTATGGAGCAGCCTGATTGTTTTGTGGCTGTCTCATTTTGGGGCTAAAAATGGTAATGATGGAGGTGGTAGTTTCACTGGGTAGGGTTTGGAGTGAATATAAGTGCGACATTTCTGAAGAATCTAACGCTCTGACTTTATTTATATTCATTATTGATGTTGCTTAAGAAGGTTGGGAGTCCATTTATAAGGGTGACCTAGCAAAGTGTCAGATTTTCATTTTATAAGGGGGAGCTAGCAAGGAGGTAAAGTATAGCTGCAAGTCATGGCTATTTTTGGAGTGTTAGCATTGTAAGGGTGAGAATCCGTAACATCGCCGCTTCAACTAGAGAGAGAGAGAGAGAGAGAGAGAGAGAGAGAGAGTACATTTCCGTTGTACATGACGCGTGTGTCGAGTGTAAGTGCGATTAAAAGAGTGTGTACATTCAGAGTGTTTACAATTTGCTGGTGTTATTCCCCTCATCACACTTGACTGAGGACGGTCTACTTCGTCATTATGCCAAGTTATGTGAGAGTGCTAATAATTGTCCTCACTTGCCGGCAGGCAGATAGCGTAATGTTTGCACATGTCTAGCTTCACAAGTTAGATCATCGCAAATACGAGGCTTCCATACTGAGCTCAGCAAGAAATTTTTCTTACATACAAGCTGATTTTTTTAACACTTTTATATAAGGCTCGTTATTTACCGTAATATTGTGCAATATAAGATAAATGGGTAAACTTGTAATTTAATCAGTACGTAAATATCCGTTACGGAGGTGATGAACATGATAAAGGGTAAAATAGTGGCTAAATAAAGATTTGGCCTCAATTCGATAAATTAGGCAGTGTTGGTGATTTTGGTGTCGCCGTGAGATTGTGGTCGTTACTAATCGGGACACACTAATTTCACGCCCTCTGTATGATTACTCATGGGAGGTAATCAGTCACGTGCTATCTAATTTGGCTATGTGTTTTGAATCCTCAAGAAAGGTTGGGCTCCAGCCAAGGTGCTTAAATTGTATCAAATTAGGTCCATGAGATATATCAGGCAGGCGGCAGCTTTCCAAAGGCTGACTCACCATAGATCCGGCATCAAAAGAAAAGGGTCCAGGAGGTGGTACAGGGGAGCGGTAGAGAGTGCCGACAATTTCGTGAGCGTTCCTTTTGTATTGGGCTACGTTCATTATCTTCTCCACCATCAGCACAAATCGGTGGAAGAAGTCGTGCCAAGGGAGGTAGCTGAAAAGAAACTGTCAAACCAGACCATTATGTGAAACCAATATAATTCATAAGGTTAACCCTTAACCTAGTATCCAAAATCTAGGACTAGTCTCTCTGATTGTAGTGTAGTGTAGTGTAGTGCAGTGTAGTGTAGTGTAGTGTAGTGTAGTGTAGTGTAGTGTAGTGTAGTGTAGTGTAGTGTAGTGTAGTGTAGTGACTAGTGTAGTGTAGAGCGGTATGGTACAGTAAAGTGTAATGTAGATTAACAGTACCTGACTACGCATATAGCTGTAGTGGCTGATGTAGTATAGCAGTAGCCAAAAGAGAACATTGACTCCGCACAGTTCGTTATAGTAAAACCAAAATACTTGCCCGCCTGCCTGAGTGAGCTTAACATTAGACTTACTCATTTAATGAACTTCTAAGTAAAATTGGTTTTATGTAGTATTGATGACTCTATATGAAATATAAAGGTGGATTTAATTTCCAAGAAATCAAGTTGTTATGCATTTAAGTTGATACGATCGCCTAGCAACGATTTCAAAATCTATGATAAATCCAGAATCCGTACAATTTATGGGTTATCCGACCCATTTACTTCCATGAGAGGCGAGAGCTAATACTCCAATATTGAGGCACAATGTACTTCATGGCTCACTAACATGTGACAATACTCTGGAATGTTTCGAAATTGAAAGTGTTGAATTTCAATGAGAATATTTCCGTGGAATCGATAAAAATAAAAAATTCACACAGCGACACTTCCTATCACTTAATACATGCTAATATACAGAGATAAGGTTGCTAACAACTAAAACAATTTGTATTCTGATAATATAATTACAATGCCAATCGTCAGTAGATTGTTAGGTCATTATCACAGAGAACATTAATTGTCTGTAAATTAAAAGGCTCCAGCACTTTCTAGGAAACCAGAACAACTCATTAGTTGAGATAAGGTTATATTATGTAATATTATAAAACGTCAAACAGGTAATACGTTGTAAATGTGTAATACTAATACGGTGCGAACTCAAGTCATCGTCTATTAGATACTGGTGTTATTCCCAGAGGAACTGTGTTCATCTACTTATAATAAACAATATGGTAGAAGGTACAAAAGTGCACTGTTCAGTGTGGTAGCAATATGGGAGTTATATAATTAGAGTGTTAGAGTGCAGACGCGCCCCGGGTCTATCAGGACTACATTGTTCCTCATTCTAGTCAAAGCTATGTTCATTACCCGAAGTAAGTCTCCTCTCTCCTGTATTACAGGATGGAAATGATTGACAAATTACGGTGCGGGAGTAGTACAAGTGTGCAGACAGGACAACAAGGTGACATTGCACCTGTGGGCTGTGTTTAATGGATTACTTAATAAACAAACAAATTAATTCCCTTAATTAATTAATTAATTACCAAATTACTCTATAAAATTGTTCATACTCACATGTTGGTGATCGGGAAACAGAACACCGGAACATTGTGCAGAATATCCTGAAATGGGATTCATTTAGAGGACTAATTACATCATTTACTTGAGTGTATGTGCCGTTTAGTTGGAGTCTTATTTTCAGTTCCTCTCCGAGTTTGGGCACGAAACCCGGGGTGAAACTGATGAAATTACTAGGTCATTAGGGAGGAAGGAAGGTTAAACTCTAGAATGTGGGTTGGTTTAATAATCGGTGCTACTGCCGGTGATACCCTGCTGCCGGGTATCACCATACTTTTGGCATAGGTGAGTTCTATTAGTAATACAAGAAGCTGAATACAGTATGAATATTAATTTCTTACTTAGAGTCATTGTCAGTCAGAGGCAAAAGATTGATACTGCAATTGTGGTTGTACCAGGATCAATGTCGCTTTTGTGACAAAAAAGCCCCCCAAGCAACCGAGACGTATCAATTCCGTCGAGCTTCCGACAACTAACTTTTTTGTCGGGACTATTTTATTGCCACCTTTATGACTTCTAGCCACCTAAGCAACGTTTTGTCGGCTCTTAAGATCTATTTTCTATTATTCGGTAGACACTGAGACGGGAGAGGCAAAGCTGTGTAAATTGTAATTCGAGAACAAAAACAGATATCTTCCCTTTAGTGCTGTTCTCTGTATAGCAGAAGCAGTGGGGAATCATTCCCCAGTTCTTAGCTTTGATATCGTCAATTTAAAAACCGGGTAATTGTATATGGTACAGATATTACGGTAATACATGATTGAAAATTGGAACTATGCCGCCACAGTGCCACGAGAGTGCTGCGACAGTGCTGTCGGGATCCGGATGTATGACCGATATAATAACGTAGCCAGATTTTGGCCATATTAGACCCCCTCTACCCTCTTCGAGCCACCTTTTACTTATCCTCCATCTGATATTCCCTGATAGTTAATAGTTAATAATAGTACTATGTTTACAGTATGTACTGAAGGGGTATCCTAGGAAGTTTCTTGAACTTTTAACAGGTACCCCTCCTCATTTAACCCTCAATTAAGTTTCCTATCATTCGGCTGAGTCGACCGAGGAGATCGCATAGATCCAATGTATCCTTAGCTACTCCCTAGACTAGGTGACACTGATACAAAGTACACCAAAATTTTACATACCACCGATCTAGGAATGTTCCCAACCGTTGTCCATTTGTGTGCAAACCATTAATTATCGTCTGTCATTGACGGAATTCCATCTGTGTTATAAAATGTAGCCCCTCCAATATCGACATTTTTCGATTACAAAAAATGATATGCATTGCAAAAAAGAACAGACACCAAAGATAGAATAATTAGACCCTATTTTATTCTTATTCCAAGAGAAATCACATATCTGTGAATCAGCATACCAATCGGAAGTGTGCTAAAAAAGGAAAAAAGGTTTCCAAAATTGGGCTCACTTATAGGAAATTTCAAAGGAAAAATAGACCAATTTTCTACCCGTGCAAATCACTATTAGGGATGGCAGTTATACAACTGGCTGTATATAGAATTGAGTGACTTTAAAGGTGATCGATGGTAATGAGCACACATGGGCAACGTTTCCGAACATATCACATACGATTATTTTGGTTCCTTTCGATTTTAACATCATTTGTGTTACTTTGTATTCATTGTGTAACTTCGTATCAGGTAGCAGCAGTTATAGTGTAGCTTCTGGGTAGAAATAACCCTTGGGCATAGTGTGGCTATTGTGTAGAAATGGGGACCTTGTTCAACTTTAGACCAGCTGTATAGTATGTAACATGTGAACTATCCCCCCCCCCCCCCCCCCCCCCCCCCCTTAGTATATAAGAACGCAGCATGTTGCCAGCTGTATAGTATGTAACATGTGAACTATCCCCCCCCCCCCCCTTAGTATATAAGAACGCAGCATGTTGCCAGCTGTATAGTATGTAACATGTGAACTATCCCCCCCCCCCCCCCCCCCCCCCTTAGTATATAAGAACGCAGCATGTTGCCAGCTGGCCTCGAAATGGCATATTCAAATAGTAAGGGTGCATTTAAAGTGTAATAACGAGGATCCAATTTAGTAAACGGTGGGCGTTACAATGAGACATCATAGTACACAACCAGTTTCAAACAGGAACAAATTAAGCACATTTTAAAAAGCTAATCTGTATAAACACCACCGTGCAACTATTTTAAGGCCTCTTTCAGCATGCAAAAATTCTGAAAACAAAATTAACATGTGTCGGATAATTGGAAGATGGGGACCACTACCCTCTAGTAAATGGATCATTTGCAACTAACTATGTTGTAGGACAGGGCTTCCCCGATGCGTCATACGAAATAAATGTAATTATAAAAGAAAACCCTTTAATAAATGCGATCAACGAGTTACTAATATGAGAAAGAATTTGGTGTAAACCTGCGCTTGTGGTAGCCCAAGTGCTATGACTTTTCCTTCATGCCCAAAGTTAAAACTTAATGCACATTAATGATTAAGATATGTTTTAAGTGATTTCAGCCAGTCTAAAGTTACTAAAACAAAAATCGCGCGATCCAAGTTATCCTAAATTCAACGCGTTTTACAAATAAAACGCTTGTGCCGAAAAACCGGCGCAGCTAAGTCAAATCTATTGTTTAAGCGCGCGCCAATTTTATTTTTAGTAGACCTTATTGGTTACAGTTTTTATGAAGTCGTAACCAAATCGAAATTCGATAGGAATAATAAGGAAAAAGACTGGTTGTAATGAATCCAAAACAAAAACATGAACTCACCTGATTGTCGAAATTGTCAGGATACTTGTATGTAACCGTCTTTTCTGAAATTCAATAAATTGTTGCTTGAGACTAACGACTAACTTTTATGTACATCCTTTTAGGAATGCGAAGAATCTAACAATATAATATCATTGTCATTGAAATCAGTATAAACGCTTCCAAGTCACAAAACAAAATGACTAACTTCCATCGACAACTTCGAGCTGTAAATAACATTCAAATATCCTGTCCGCTTTTTCCCTGAGGGATTATTAAAATCGTTAAACAACGCAACATACATGTTAAAAGTTTGTTGTACTAAATGATTGTCATTTGTCTCTGAACTATATGTTTATTATATATCTTCATCATTTCAGAAAACAAGAGGAATATCAACACATCTAATATAATAACTGAACAAACTGATATATGGATGCATAACATCGATGTTGCGGAAATGAATGTCTCTTGCAGTATCATGTTTTGAGATATGAACCCTAACCAGTGAAATCTTGTGCTTTGAACCAAATCTTATCCCACTATCACTTGAAATTAATCGAAACTGCTCTTGGAATTTGAAATATACGGTCTGGATATTAATCAGAATTGAACTGAGTCATCATGAGTTATGACATGATTTCCGGTCTTGTAAGGTGGTGAGAGGTGGGGCAGACAGATTAAAATAAGGTGTCAGATATCACATTCTAACAGTATACCACTTATCTACAGTAGATAACGTATCAAGGACCTGTCATTTTCATTAAAAGCGAAATTTAAATTACTTTCTTATGCAAACCCTGTCGCGAAATGATTTTTAAATTTATAATTTGATTTAAGTTTAATAACGTTTTTAATGGTTTAATCGCTACAAGTAAGCGGAATGGGGCAAGGTTAAATGATCTTCAATTTACTGTACAGTTTTTAAATGATAGGAACGTATATCCTGAAGTTTAAATGTGACAGAGAAATGTCCATTGACTGGAAATTTCTTTAATCTATTAGCGAAACTATAAAACTATAAAACCGAATCAATTTTGATATATCCCCTCTCATCGAGGAGAGTTGTAAGCTGCGCCTTTCTCTCAGGATTCCTATACCGTCACATCCTCCAGTCGGGGAATCATACCCCAGTTTCCGTGTACTGCAAGCGGGTTCCAAACCTGTACACTGTACAGTGTACAGCGTATTCAACATGCAGTCTGATGAGACTTTTTTGAAATTAAGCATGACGAATATGTTTCAGCATGAGCGTTCTTTTGACCCACCCTACAACTCATTAGTCATTAGGCTTTGTTGACAGCTTTGTCAATGTTAGACGTCCACTGGAGGTCAAGACTTATAAGTCTTTCATTTCGCAACTTTTAAGTCTTTTATTTTCCCAACTGGGCTCTCTCCATGAAGTAGGGTTGCTCTTTCCAATTTACCATACCTTGTGTTACTGTTCTTAACAATAAAGCGAGAAAGCCGTTCCTGCTCCCAAATAATCTAATACCTACCTGGACAAGCGTATGGTGTTGCCAGCGAACATTAGGTTAACAGTTTTCAGATTCATCGAGTAGTTGTTTTTTAAAGTATAACAAGTAATGAACTGCATATTACTTATTATACTTGTCACTTACCACCTATTATTATGGGTGTCTAACCTTATAGCTGGACAATGACCATTGCTGTAATTATCTGTGTGTAACAAATTACACATCAATATCCGCTGACCTTACAAGAACAAAGATGAACTATCTGATATCATGCTTGCTGTTGTACTGCTGAGATCATGTCATCTCTACAAATCATACTTACTGAATCACGCTCTAATTTGACTATATTAGATTAACCGACAACATTACTACAGTCAGTAAATATTTACATTAAATAATAAGTGAGGAATACTGAGAATTGCATCATTGTGTTATTCATTGTGCGAGCTACTTGGAATGTTGTATTCCAAAAAGAAAATATCTTAATAATCATTATATTCACCCACAGAAATAATGAGGTGAATGAGGTGTTATTATTATCCTGTACCTGAAGCCAGAACAGTACCAGGTGAAAAAACACGTACACTACGTGACACAAAATTCATTTAATAATATGTAGAGGATACAATTAAACTTTAAATGAAATTTCATATCATCACTCGTACTGTGATAAGTAATAAGAAATATTACGTGATCTAATTCGTTTAAAATGTACTCCACATTGGATGTATGCAGGCCTGTCTTCTGGAATTATATGTTATTAGATATTGGAAGTATAGCAACACGAGATAGTTACACAAGTTACCATTAAATAATCTCATTGTGTCAAGGACATGCTGAGTAAATTTTGTTCTAATTCTAAATAATACTGTCGGCAAGAGAAATAAAACATGTATCTTTTTTAAAACTACTGCTTTTCTGAAAAATCAAACCCAGTTTAATTAGTCCTACCATTCTCTTGATATTATTTAAGTATCGTGACTTTTTAATCGGAGGACCAAATGGCCGCGTGAATAACGAAACTTTTATTCTAAAGGGTCGGATAGTTTAGCTTTTCCGATTTTCGTTTTTGCCCTTAGATGCATAAGCTTATTGGGAATCAACATATTTAGAATATGGTGGGAAGATTAAGAACATACAAGCTAGGGTGTCCAAAGCTTCATAGCACTTGACTTGCGAATTTTTAAGACGTAAGGGCTATTAAATAAGTCACGTGGTCGCTTGGTCACGTGGTCGCCCTTTTTAGGACACCCTGTACTTAACACTTTAACAGATACACATAAGTACAGAACTGTGTAAATTATAAAAGCATTTTATTCATATTTTATGCGCTATTTTTAGCGGTAAGTACTAAGTAAGTGTTACCGTGTTATCCCCTATCAAGATTCTAAAAAAAGTGCGATGAGATTGGATTTTGAGACTAAAAGTGCGATTTTCACGTGTCACGTGCAGTGGCGAAATGTACTCCCCACCAACCCCCCCCCCCCCCCCCAGCCTGCAAGATTTCTTGCCCCACAAATTATTTTCTATTTAAAAAGATTTCGCGAGTCCCTTTGTAAGCGAAATTGTAAGTAAGTTGCTTTATGTCGCTCGATGTTTATTTCTCAGAATTGTAAGTATGTCGCTGTTATTGGATCCATAAATAACGAACAATTTACGTGCGTATTTTTATGAATTATATTATGTTACATATTGTAAACGTGGTAAGCCTCTCGTAGCACGATGGTTCCCAGTGACATAAATTTAAAAAGGGACTAGGAATCCAGTCTGGAAAGAAAAAACGGCTACCATATATTTTTAAAACGACTACCATAAATTTTTCGGCCGCTCCGCGGCCGGATAACAATTTCATTTCACTTTGCTAATTATATGCTAATTATATTACAGAGGTTTAGTTATTCATTAGTATAGTTATTAGTTCATTAGTATAGTTATTCATAATTGCCAAAAGAGTGGAAAAAATTATCCTTTCCGGGACTCGAACTCGCAATCTGCTCATCAGGAAACGATGAATTAACCAACTAGGCCACGATTCCATACATACCGTTGTAATATTTACATATAGATATTCGCGCGTTCCTGCAACTTCAGGTAGTACTATACTAGAATTTAGAATGGAATCAATGTGATAAGGATCCAGAGTTAATTACCTGCTAGGATTAATAAGTCAGTTCTCCAGTTGAAGAGACCCTCTCTCAAACTTTTAATGAAGAAATATTCACTATGCCTATGGCAGTATCAAGTATATTCTGAGAAAGATGGAGTAGACTGTAGCCAGGAATAGTACCTCCTTTAATGGTAACCATGGTAACTATAGTAACCACTGTGAATCTTGATCTTATAACAACTAGTATCCTTTAAGACTTAGACAGTATATAGTACATTGAATAAACACGCTGAAAAGCGATGAAAATGCAAGCGCGCGACCGAATATGTAGTGCTGAAAGAGGATGCCGAAATCTCGCGGAGAATCTCACGATATCGTGAGCCTAGCTATGAGATTTAAACGAAACTCGCAAAAATCTGGCAAAAATCTCGCGCGCGTTACGTCGAAGTTTTCACGCTATAAACAAGTGATAAAATACACGTTAACTTTAAGAGTATAAAATACATGTTAAGTTCCTAATTCCCTCAACTTTTAAGTTAAACTTTTTCTGTTTCCTCATTTATTTACAAATTTTGTGTGATGAGTCTGGCTCGCAATCTCGCATAAATCTTGACCTGGGCGTGTTATGTAGGACCATAACTAGGTTTTAAAAAGTTATACAAACTTAAAGAAGATGTATTAATATGTAGTCACAATCCTCGATAAAACTCTTGATCTTATTGAGCTGGAAATATGTCATTTGAACAAGCATAAGGCTCTGTGGCCATAACGGAAAAGTTTTATTTTTGACGATGAACAATATTGAGACATGATCATGGCCGAATGAACAAGTTAAAGGATGAGGGGAGAAAAAGTTTTTTTCTCGTGCAAATCCTTTTATTACATTAATCGTATAAACCACTTTAGTAATATCCGCAAAGTTGAATTTCATTCGCGCGCCGAGATATCCAGCCAAAACAATTTGAACCTGTGACGTCAATTATGTGAGTTGCTCTGATCCGCGCATATAGAAATACAGGTAAAATGAGCGTGCGGGCCGACTAAATTACTAATTAAGAACAAATTAACAATTTACGATACTAACGAGCCTATAACCAATCGAGAGGAGACTTTTTATGACCGGTTGAAAAAAGAATTATCACCCTACGATAACCATGAGCCGAGATACACCTGGAATAAGATTGAAGTCACACAGAAAGGCATGTAAATTATGTATATTTATAGCTCCCAACGCAACACCTAGCAACTCCCTGTTTCGTTATACCACAGTTGATATATCAACATGTCATATCAACACAACACGGTCCTAATAAAAATGGATCGGGTAGGTATGAAATGCATGTCTTCATTCCAGTTGGACAAGCACCAAGCACCAAGCTTTTAAGTTCTAACTCACTATGTGACACTACTTATAACGTAAGCAAGATTTGCAACTATTTACACCAAGCAATATTATACCAAGCATAGCAGACGAACACATCCACATTCGTTACGCTTTACACTCAAGTCACAGCAAACTAAAACGGTAAATTATAAATGAGTGTACAACTAAAGGCCGGTACAAGCGCAGTGTCAAACCGCACGTGCGTACTCAGATAGGACTAGAGGCGCCAAGGGCCAGCTAGTAAAATGTCTTCTACTACATCATACATTCTTTTTAATTGTGTCCATATCGGGTTTCAAACAAGTCAAAACAAAATAGCAGTTTGTGGTTTAGTTAGCGGATGCTACTTATCTTAGCTATTTATAAATAGAAATACCTACTACAACTACAAGAAAGCCTTTCTGAGTTACATTTAACTATTATTATTAAAGAGAATTATTCGTAACTTAGACTAATTCAGTGCAACCAAAGATACCGCTCTCGCAAACGCCAAAGGTAACACGACGTAATTAAAACAGAACAGAACAAAATGTTGACACGAGCAAAGGGTGCGCGCGCACGTTGCATAGTGTGCCCAGAGGCTGCAAAAAGTATTTTGGGTGATATTTGCTTTCCAGATAAGTTTAGCCTGATCTGATCAGAAATAATCTGAATTTTCTAACAAAAAAAGAATTAAGGGGCTATCATTTTTAGTTTTTGAGATATTTTGAATCATATACACCAAATTGGTATGAAATTTATGAATAAAATTCAATAGGATAAGAATTAATGGATGAATTGGTCGCATATAAACTAGAATAATAATCTCTAAACATGTCTAAAACCATAAACATTGTTTTTCATCATTATTATATGGAGTTAGGGGCCAGATCCAATAAAAATTGGGTTAAAAATACGAAATTTCGATTTTTGCAGGCAAAATTCGATGTTTTCATCATTTTTGAAGGAAAAAAATTTCGTTCGCATGGTACCAAAGTGCAGAATCAACTTCCAGATCGCAGTTTTGGGAACTATTAACTAAGTTATTTGTTATGCCTGATACCTTACATTGACAGAAAAAACATAATGGGGAACCCAAATTTGTCATCTGACACCTTCCCATGGCCATTTAAAGTACCCCCAGCCTCCCTCAAAAAATTTGACTGCCAAAATATGGGGATATCACTATTTTACCCTTAACTAATCTTGGGGGCAGTTTTAGAGTCTCCACATGTGTTTTAAAGTAACCTTTAGGTATGGTTATGCCTAAGAATGACTATTTGGGAACTATTTTCAGCTACTGCCCTAAAATGTTGGTAATTTTATTGAAATTAGGGTCCTTTAAAGTTAAAAAAGGGCTAAATGTACCATTTTTAGACCTTAAATTGCAAAAATAATGATTTCTGAACTGTTTGAGAGCATCAAGATTGCTTTTTAAGTGTTTTTGGTCATTGTAAGGTCCGGAAACACTTGTTGAGGTGATTTAAAGGCTTTAAAAAAGAAAATATCAGCAATTTGGGGCTAAATTACCTTATTTTGTAAGCGCGTAACTCAATTTAGCTCAAAATAACATTGTTTTTGTCCCAGAAAATTCGAATTTTGATCAAAAGCCATGTATGGAGGTATCAAATGAAAGCTCTTGATAACCTCTTTCCATTTAAAACACAAAGAAGTAGTTTATAATTGATATAAGTGATAAAATGGTCTAAAAATGGAATCAAAAAGTCCTAAAATTCACAAAATTTCTGTATAATCTTAAACCTTTGATGGCCCATAAAAAAATCATGCCACAATATCACACTGTAAATTTTTCTGAGATTACTCTAAATGTCCTATACTAACAGATAGCGTAAATTATGGATGCTCACCAAAGTGAATTTGTCACTTATTTTTGTAATTTGTTCAAAAATATGGCAAAAAACGGCAAAAAAATGTAATTTTACACAAAAAATCAGGTTAAATCAATATATGAGGTCAAAAATCCTTCTAATCATCTTTAAAACCCCTTTAAACGATTTCTTATGCAATTTTAGGTTGGATAGGGTGGTTTTAAATTGAAAATAGGCTGGTTGAAGAAAAAAACTGACTTTTTGCAGAAAATTGGGCTCGCGGGCACACTGTGCGTTGGTCTTAACACATAAGTGACGTCACAGCCCAAAATTGCTATCAGCCAATAGGAGCGCGGCGTGATATTGCACGAATTATCGATTTCACAGTCCGGCGTATTTTTTGATTCTACACACTTTCACAGGACTTAAACGCGAATATTTGGAAGTAAATTCTAAGGTCCCCTCATCCTTTAATTCATTCAGAATGAGATATTGAATATAATTATTGTAGTGTTTAGTAGGGGGCATCACAGCTCTCGAAGGACAAAGTGAAACAAGGCAAATGACTCCAGTGCTATTTTTTGCGGTAAGTATCGCTATTAAATAACTTAATATTTTAACCCCTTTTTTGGATGTATTATTTTTAGAACCTGAGCATATTATTTTTAATTACCATGTATGTTTAGCCAAGTTAGGGATCGCCTTACTTGCTTGTTTTAGTTCCTATAGACTATAGTTGGGATCTCCTAATTAAGTCAGTAATCTTAGTTAAAGGACAATGAGTGCCGAAACTTTGATTATTTTTATTTAGTAACCAGTTATTTGCCTTGTTTCACTTTGTCTGTCGATGCTCCTTTCTAGCCCTACTATGTTAAAAACTCATGCTTGGTACTACAAAATGAATGAAATTAAATCATCTTCAGGAAAGCTTCAAGACTTTAGCAAGCCAGTTTATATTTCAGTTCGGGATTTAAACCTTTAATTTCAGCATCAAATATCAAGAACATAAAAACATTCTACATCACAACAAATACTCAATATTATTATTATTAGTATTGTATTCAGTGGTCGACCGGGGGCAGGATTCTGACCGGGGCCGGGGAGCCCCAATATAGCCGGGGCCGGGGAGCCCCAATATAGCTGGGGCTGACCACTGAGAATTGGCCGGGAAATCTTCCATTTTTCCATATTATTAGTATTGTATTCAGTGGTCGACCGGGGGCAGGATTCTGACCGGGGCCGGGGAGCCCCAATATAGCCGGGGCGGGGGCTGACCACTGAGAATTGGCCGGGCCGGGAAATCTTCCATTTTGTCGGGGCCGGGGGTAGTCAAACTGAAGCCAGAAATTGAAACATGAATTTGATAATAATTTAGGCTGGTGTGATGCAATCGGGAAGGATTAAACTCAAGGTGCGGCTTATCCTCACCGACTTGAGGATTAAACCGCAACTTCGTGCTGTGAACCAACTCAGGATAATCCTCATTATCCTGAGATCCATACTTAATTTCTAATCCTCAACTCGGAACTGAGGATAACCCTCAGCTGCTACTTTATCTGGAACTCGGGATTTAAAAGTAATCCCACATCCAAATACGGCTCGGTTCACAAAAATTTACCATAAATGTTAGGCTCTGTAGTTTACGTTGAGCCGTAGTTTTAGCTGCAGTGCAGTATTTTTACTTTATAGTTTCTACATATGTTTTATCGGGAAGGGCCGGGAGTTGTGATTTTGGCCGGGGCCCCAGTTGACCACTGATTTTATTACTGTACACTCATGACTCATGAATCTATGAGACACCATTGTTTTGGTGTTACCTTTTTTCACTTGTAAGGAGAGAAAGTAAAGACCTTTGTAATTGTTGTCTTCATTTTGGAGAGCCGCTCTAACATGAGCATTTTTTGTTCAATTTTGATAGTTATTTCTAGACAGAATCTTTGTTGTATATGATAATGGGTGTGGTATTGATTAGTGTGTTTCCTTTCTTCTCCAATATATACTAAAAGCTGAACAAAACTCTTACTTACTTGACTCTGCTTACAGTCATCTTTCACTGCAGCCTCACATCACATTGCCTTTGCTGAGAGGATTTAAGATATATTAATCTAAGATGAAATAACTGTTTTTAGCCAAAAAGGGCTCCTTTAATTCAAATTGAATCAAATATTCATGAAAAACATCATCACAAATATTTTTAACAAGTTAACAAACTAATCTACTGTGTACAAAGAACTTATCCACGTATTATGTAAGCCAGTCTAGAGAGATGGGATTTGTAAAAGCAGTTTAATCATTGAACAATAGCTAGGTGTAAAGAAATTCTTGGAAAGGGTCTAAAATGCCCAGAATCTGGCTTATATAATATGTGAATTATTTTTAATCTTCTATATAATGAGGAGTGTGCATTAAAGCAGTTGTTCCTTCTCTATCAAAGTTGAGTTCGATGAGAAACCAGACACTGTACGATAGCTCGTTCGCAGTAAAAGGATCCAAACTGTGGAATAAGGTGCCGAGTGAAGTGAAAGCCGAGAAAACGTTTGCCAGCTTCAAAGTCAGTTTGTCGCAGTTTCTTGCTTTGATACCGGATAACCCTCCGGTTTCCGGTTATACGTGCAGCTGGTCGAATTCCTTGGTAGACTACACGCCATCACGGTGGTCAGACATCTGATGACCCTTCCTGCTACGAGGATAAACCTTACCAAGTTACCAAGTTAGTTAACTGATCAAGTGGTTAGAAGGTCCGCCTCTAAAGCAACAAGTCTGGGTTTGAAACACACAAGTTTAGGAATTGAGCGCTGAGCTATGGACTCTGCTAGATGATCTACGAAAAAGATCTAAAACTTCTTTCACTTTGTGAAATCTCCTTGGTTGACTCGACCGGGATGATCAGGAAATCATGATTGAAGGGTAAATCTCAATTTTAGCGTACTGTAAATATAGCTACTATATTATACAACAGTAAACCACGATTCATTGCAAGGAAACAGTCACAGTTAAATAGGGTCCACAGTAAATCAGGGCTTTACTTATCCACGTTATGGATTTTAAGCTCTATTGGAAGGAATGCAAATGGCTGCAGGGTTTGTGGTTAGTCAGGGTACAGTTAATAGGGCACTGTATATCAACGGCCCAGTATATTGGTGTTTGACTATATGTAGCAGGGTTTCACAGCAAAACAGTCACAAGCAGGAAAACAAAAACTACGAAAGAATCAGAAGCTTGGATCAAACAAGGGTCATAACTGTAAATAAAGACATGCTGCACTCTAGATACTGAATATATCTACATGTGCAGTGGACTACATAAATTGAATATTGCAGCTAAATGATGTTTTAGCATAAATTTTAGCTAAAACTCAAAGGAATCACAATATACATCACAATGATGATTGTAAAATCCGGATTGGAGTATTATTTATGAGTCGCATTGTTGTAATGTATTCTGAATACGATGTAGTTACATTGAAACGTCGAGTAAACTCCTTTCCCTAATAAGAGCATTTTTACTTGTCGCAACAACCGGGAGAAAGATAATTTTACACAGAATACACAATGATGATTGTTCGATCATGTAAAGGTGGTGACATTGGATCCAAAATTGTTGCCAAACATAATTGGCTTTAACGAGCAAATAAGGTCAAGTAACGACATCCGAAGTCAGATGACCGTTTTCAGTATTGATAAGTGAAAATATTGTATTTAAGATCAATAAAAAGAGCTCGATTTTTGTTAAATCTTGTCCATATTTTTAATCGCGCGCGGTGTGTCAAAATTCTAAAATTTTACAGAAAAATTTTAAAACAAAATCGTTTTATATTATATACATCGATCATCCGTATAGTAGTAAAACAAGATTGCAATTGTACGATGGTGGTTTAATAATTAATTAAATGAATTAGCTGAAGCATTCAACAATTTTATTACTGGGCCGCGCTCAGCCTGTCATTCCGCCTTCACATAGCCATGTGCCTACGCGTACTGCGTGACCTACGGCGGTCGCGCGCTACTGCAAGCGAGAGGGCTCTGGTTAGAGCAACATTCCGCCTAATCTCTATATGTTTATGAACATGATAGCCTGAGGTCCCAGGTAACAATATTACAGACCATATTGTATTTAACGGGTGATACTCTTGTAGCGCGGCGCTACTAATTCACTCGCCATCAATTTCACAAAAAGAGCCATATTTGAATTTCGCATTGGATAAGCGTCTAAGTAAACCGCGTGGCGCGTGTCTGCGATAAATCTTTTCTTGTCAAATCGATATCTTCTCTTATTCGATACAAATTTTAACTAGTGATTTTCTGATACTCCACGAACATCTATGACTGTTGCTTTTGTTCCCGAAAGGTCGAGTTAAGCTTTTAATCCTTTGTTAATTTTTTTGTTCAATTTGTAAGGTTAAAACTCTTTCAGGTCCGATTTCCGAATAGTCTGGTGTCCAAAAGAACTCCAATTGTTCAAGGAGTTAAATTTATCCACAAGAAATAACTGATTATGAGATTATTGTTTAAGAAACTATTGGGTCACCTAATGCGGGTTTAGACTCAGCGGGTAAATACTCCTACCCTTTTTAACTGCGGCAGTGAAATCCCGGCCGAAGGCCGGGTTACACTAGTTATACTAATAAACTGGTATAAACGAAACCGGCATATCCAAAGATTTTAAATCAATCTATTGAATAAATTTAAAGATATCAATTTCTTTCAGGGTTCAGAAGCTAGGAGAAAATGCCCAAATCCGCCGAGACGATTTTGCAGCCACTTTACCAAAGCCAACGAAGAAAAAGCGGAAACTATTTCCGAAATACACTGGTCAAGTGTCAACACAGCGACAGTGATTTCGAGTAAAAATTTATGGCCATTCTGCCGTTATAATTAATATTATATCCATGATGCACTGTTATATTGATCACAAAAAATATCTTTAATTTTGAAACTTTAAGATTTGCGATTCCGCTTTTTCCTCGTTGGATTTGGTAAAGAGAACAGAGAAGACAGAGAGTTAACATTTTGTTGTTTACTATCGGATGCGTGTTTGGCGCTCAGAATTAAATTGACTATATAATGCGGCCGGTTTTGATGAGCGAGTTCATGCTTCTGCCACGTGTTTTATTTTGCAATCCAACTGCGATAGAGAAATCCTCACTGAATTAGGCACTTATAGTTGCACTAATATAATAATAATATGATGCGATGGATAATTTCATTTAGAGTAATTTAGAGATTTTTAGATATTTAGTGATATTAAAGTTGTCACATAGGAGTTCAGCCACACTTGCACAGATTAAAAGTTTTAATAAAGCCATTTTATACTTAAATATCGATCATGGTCGGTATTATATATATATAATATAGGTTTGAGGAAAATCGTATAATTACAGAATCTGAAGTATCAAAATATAATGATTGATTAGTGGTATTGGTCAGTTACTGTTAATTGCTCCCGATATTGTTAATTTCATTCAGACTCTTTGAGTTCTATTTAACAACTGCAGTTATTTTATCACTTTTATAAGGCGATAAGCGATATATTTTGTTAATGATTTTTTGCCTTCATTTATTTCATCAACTGTAGCGTTTATATTAAAGATTACCGATCTTTACATTTTTACATCTTTACATGTTGTTATTATAATTCTAACAGCTCATTGACGAGTCGTCATAAAATTTTGTTTTAATTCTTCAAACATGCAGCTAGCTGGTACAAGAACCAAATAACATTCTTGCGACGTAATTAATATAATTAATTGACATAAAATATATGTTATGCTATATTTAAGTATATGTAATATGCAACCTGCCACCTGGTCCTTGTGCCGAAAATTCAATTAGCTAATTACCGGCCATGCGTTGCATAAATTCCATATTAGGGCCCATTTCGGTCACAAAGCGGAGCTTAAATTGAGTTTATTGCACGCGCGGTTGACAAATTATGTGAAAAAACTGTGCTGTCACAAACAATGCGCGTTATAGAGGTGACCAATGAAATCAAGGCATTAAAAACACGTGATAGCGCGCTGGCGAGTGAATTAGTAAAATCCCTTGTAGCGCGATGCACTACTGGGTCGCGCGCGCGTCAAATAATGCTCCTCGCAAGATCGGCGAGATGCACCACTGTGCCTCACCGAGCTACGAAGGATTGACATCGTGAATCAAGTGATACTCGTAAAATATTTGTTCCAACTCGGCGCGCGTCCTGGTAGGTTGTAAACCTACAATATCGTATAAATTCATTTAGTCTAACCATCGTGCTTTCGCGCCACTGCGTTGTTGCGCGATGCACTACTGGGCCGCGCGCGGATCCAATAATGCTTTTCGAACCACGTATGCAGATCGCAACCACGTATGCAGATCGGCGAGATGCGAATGATTGACATCGTGGCTGGCGGCGCGGTGGTACTAGAGTTGGTTCAATTTAAACAAACGGCTTGACCTCCCAGCTCAGCAAACCCTACCGGCTGGGGTACGGTATACCTCCAAACGTAAAATAAATAAAACCTTCCCGCGGTTTTTAACAAAATTTCCGTCTTGTAAATTTAAAGTTAGCTCCCCAAAAGCAAAATTTGGGACAATTTAGATTCTGAATAAAACCGAAAAGTTTTATTTTGGACTAAATAAAAGATCACAGTTTTTTGCGCCGTGCAAAAAGTAAACTTGACGTGTCGCGCGATGACTAACGTTGAACGTGCTGTTGAAAATGATCACCTCTAGCGTTTTCATACGTTGTATGACCCGCCGCGCACGAGTGCGCGGCTCCCCCTGTATCGTCAGGACGTGGGGGTCACTTAACGTGATACAACTCTAGCGAGCCCGGTATGGCAGGCGCCAGGCGGTAAGGTTTTTTGGGTGTTGAAGTAGTGAGTAGCTGCGGCGCGCTTATAATATATATTACGTATAGTGCCTTACAGAAACTCTCAGGCGTGCACGGAGTAGAAGGATTGGTGCCGAGAAGATCGCAGACGTCGAGTTTGCAGATGATGTTGCCCTTATCACTGATACCATTGAAGGGGCAAAACTACTCCTGGACAGGCTTGAGAAAGCAGCACTGAGTGTTGGGCTAGCCATGAACGGCTCTAAAACTAAGTTCATGACTCTGAACATGACAGAG